GATATACTTTTTGCGATGACTCACATTTCACGTGAAGGTGCCTGATGAACAGATTCCTAGGTTGATCTTACCAAGGATAACAGCGGATTCTTGTTGCTTACCAGCTGTATGCCATTAATATGACGTTCAGAAGTTATTTAACCTTGTTTTCGCAACTTGGTCATATTGGCAGGAAGACCTAGAGAACGCACATTCAGTTGAACGCAGTAGCCGAGAAAACCTAATTTGCTTGTCAGAAATTTATCTGATTATTATCAACACTTCAAGCTGACTTGAGATCAGAGAAAATAACCGCTCTATTTTACTTTTTATGTGAATAGATATATGCAGAATAATTTGGTTCCCTTTCAAGGCAATCTAAATACTTTTATCCTTGAATTCTGGAATGGGTGTGTATGCAAACAGTCCCGGATTCGAAACCACTAGTCATAAATCTGAGCAAATAAAATAGAGCATAATGTCAGTCCAGGGTCCTCAAGGTTTGATGACCTATGGAAAGGTATGAATATAATTTATATTTACGACCAGTCACGCCCGAAGGCAATACTCCTTCGTTCTTCGATGCGATTAATAAACAAATCTCTTCAAATAAAATGAATGGTAAAATAACTTGAATTTATTGAGACATTATCTGAAACCCAACTTCTCTTCATATCTACGAAAAAATAAAGTCACTCTCGTTCACTGTAACACACCACCGGATAGAGACAGAAAATCAATCGACAGTGTATACTATAAAATACTGACACTCTAAACAAGGTTGAGAGTGTCTTTAGAATTTCTTTCCCATTTAATACTTGCATCGATAACACTTACTCGATTAACAGTATATTTCTCCAAGCCTGAGGATCCACCGTCCCCCGATGAAGTACACTTGGTTTGATTCAGGGCCTCCCGTATCAAAGTGAGTGGCTGTTGAGTGCCTGCTGTTTGGAGTGGTTGCTGAGTTTGGCCAAGTGACTTGCCCACTTTGCCCTTGCGACGCGTTCGAGGAGGTCTAATCAGAAGAGGTAAGAATGAGAAATTAAGAAGATTGAACAAATACCTCTTAACCGAAAACACTGAAAGCCCCAAAGAATATATACATAAATTGTGCCCTTCTTGTCGGCTATCACTGAGAGAAAAATGCTTTCAAGCAGAAAGGCAATAGGAAATAATATTTATAAAATATCGGCAAATTTTGAATATTAATTCTAGTCACTTAGGTCGCATAAGGTGAAAAAGGTGTGAAAGTATAAATGTTCCCTAGTGAGATAAGTAGACCTTACATTTCCAGACCTCTCTATATCCCAAATTCAGTTGGGGGTGCTGATGGCGCCCAGGCGAGGTCAAAACTGCAGTCAAATCGAGGCTGGGAATTCAACTACCAGCCCGTCATCGCTAGAAAACGAAGTAGGGTGAATACATCTCATATAATCAATTTACTGGAAATCTCGAAACGATACTTAATCGATTGTCATAGCAAATCTAGCTTTGCTTCATCGACAATCCCACCAAAGAATATGATATGAGAAAATGTCTGCCCTTCCTTAAGATTCACATCTGCCCTCTGGACCAAGGGCATTCGTGGCGCTGTGGCCTAGTGGTTAACGCTGCAGTGTCATGGTTCGAATCCCACTCGAGGTGTTGATAAGACCTGGACGGTCCACCCTGGATGAGGACTTCTTTTGGTAAAGCAAAGCTATGTAAAAATTCAATGGAAGCGTCAGCTCTACTCATATTATTGAGAAAATTCAACTATCAGGTCTTCACCATCGTAAACGAAATAGGGTGGATACATCGTATATAACTGATTTACTGGTAGTCTCGAAAACCTACCTATGAACGAAAAATTAGATAATAAAAAATATCAGTAGACCTTAAATAAGAATATATGAAGACCTAAATGTTGTGGCCTTTGCTATGATCGCAGTCTCTTTTCGATTTATAGAAGTTGGTTGACCTCGTTGTCGCAATTTGGTCTTGTTGTCAGGGGGACTATGTAGAACGCACCTAGTCCGAAGTAGTCTGCTAGGAATCATGACAACTACTATGGCAGATGACTTCGAACTAGGTGCGTTCTACATAGTCCCCCTGACGACAAGACCAAGTTGCGACAACGAGGTCAACCCACTTCTTGAATAAGAAGTTTATTCACCCTAGATTAAAATGTTTAGGATTGTTAGTTATGAGTATACCTCAGGATGTCAGTGAAGTTCACTTAGCCCTGAATCTCAAAATAATGTCTTATTCAAGCTGAACTGCAATTTTGACATCGCTTTGGTCTCATCAAAACCCTAAACGGTAATCGAGCCAGAGTAGCTCAGCGTTTATGTTCGACACGTTACCGTGAGAGCTTGGTGTAACAACATGTGAGATATAAGCACTGCACTACCCGGATCTGGTTCCACTTAGGGGTGCTGATGAGACGAAGGCGAGGTTAAGACTGCAGTCGATCTAGAATAAGATTACCTTTTAGGCAGTAGGACTAAGTGAAATTCGATGGCGTCGCAATGACTACTAATAGCATGGTAGGAAAATTCAACACCAGTCCTTCTGCGCCTTGTCCTAAATAAGGTGAGAAAGGTTCTTATACACTATTTCCCTTCATAGCCTTTTAGAATTGACAAGCTTACGCACTCACGGCGCCTCGTCTCCTGACTGGCATGCACACAGTACTAACGAGCTGTCTCGCAGACTCAGCCTTTTGCCCTCTTCTGGGCATCTCTAGGCCTCACAAACTTCGTGCCATATTCCTGAATGATAGCTTAGAGGGCCGACTCTACTACTCTTTGTAACAATATCGACTCAGAACTGTCTTCCCCATAGGTTGCATAGGGTAATATAGTATCGAAAGTTGAATTTATCCACAATCATATAACTAGGCCTCATACCTCCATTGAATTTCACACAGCCTTTTTTCTCAAAATCTATTATCGTCCCGGCTGGGCCGAACTGGACTGCAGTTTCGACCTCGCATGGGTCTCATCAGCTCCCAACGTGAATAAACCCGGTTTGATGTAAGGCAGTGAATAATTTTGACACGTACCACCACGCCAAATTGTCACGGGCTCTGATGTTTCACAGGGCAGATATGATGGGATTGTTGGTAAAGCAAATCTTTATTTCTGATTACAGTCACCAACTTTGCAATGAGTAAGCTAGCGAGAAAAGGCTAAATCAATAAGAACTGTGCTCGTCCTATTTTATTTAGTGTGATAAGGGGCCAGTAATTGAAATTTTTCACAATCATGTGAATTGGCCTCACGTTTCAATTGAATTTCAC